TTACTGGCAGTTGTCAGTTGAGGATGTAGCATGGCGCCATGCTTTAACTGAGGGTTGAATTCCTAAAGTCACTTCCAGCTCAAAGAGTTGATAGTTTCATGACCTCCTGGAGCTTTTGGTATAATAATAAGACAGGAATGGAAAAAAAAAAAACTAAATTCCAAGGCAGAATGTAGGAGGTACCACGAGACAAGAAAGAGCAAAGGGTTATGGTAGTTCAGAGGAACAAGAGATCACTTCTAGTGGGGGTGAGGAATCCAGGAAGACTTCCTGAAAGAAATCACATTTGGCCTTGGAAAAAAGGAATACATTTTGAGTATGGAGGGGATATTTTAGGCAGAGGGGACGGGAAGGGGCACAATTTATCTGGGAAATGGCAATAGTCCAGTTTGGTTGGAATGTAGGATAAGAATATGTGATCTTAGATTTGGATTTACATAGATTAGACTGCAAGGGACTACAGAGGCCATCTGGTTCAAGGCCTCTTGTTTTACAGACAAGGCAACCAAGGTCTGTCAGAGTTACACCAGTCACAGGTAACAAAGGTGGGTTTGACCCTAGATTCTCTGACACCACAGCCAGTATTCTTTCTGCTGTACCATGTGAAGGGAAGCAGCAAGAAAGACAGGCTGGGGCCACATCGCTAAATGCCACATCATTAAATGCCAAGTGTTTGGACCTGTCTTTTAGGCAGTGACGAGCTATTGAAGGTTATGAGTGAATCGATCAGATTGCAAGTGTCAAGAAATATTCCTCTAGCTCCATGTGCTGAAGGTTTGGAGTAGGGAGAGACTGGAGCAAGGAGAACAACTCCAGGAAAGATCACAAAGGCCTATCAGAGGCAGGTAGCAGGGAACGTAGAGAGAAAGGTTTTGAGCCTGGGTGATGGGGAGGACGTTGGTGCCATGGACAGAAATGGGTCAGGAGGAAAAGTAGATGTGGGACCTCAGGGAGTGATGTGTTCAGTACGAAGAGTCAAGGGGCCATCCTGGTGGAAATTTACAGGAGGCAGTCAGAAAGATGAGTCTGTAGCTTAGGTTAGGACTGGGAATATAGATCTGGGAGCATGAGAAGTATTTATTTCTACCTATCACTCTCCCACCCCTACCCTGTTAATGAGGCAGCTAGGTGGCACAGTGGATAAAGCCATGGATTTGGAATAAGGAAGACCTGAGTTTGAATCCTTCATGAGATACTTATTAGCTGAGTGACCCTAGAAAAGTCCCTTAACCTATCTCAGCCTCAGTTTTCTTATCTGTAAAATGGGGTAGCACCTACCTCCCAGGGTTGTAGTGAGGGTCAAATGAGATAACATATGTCACCTCCGTGTACACCTTAAAGCAATACATAAATATTAACTATTTCTACTAGGGTAGTGCTGCTACTACCAAGCCTGGGTTCTTCTGAATTCTCCAGCTATCTTGGCCAAGATAGAAACAGCTTTTTTTTTTAAGCTGTAACAAAGCTGAAGTACTTTAAAAAGAATTTATGGGGGGGGGAGACAAAACAGAACCACAAAAATTACAAAATTCTCTATGAGTTGACAGGGCCTTTTCCCAAAAATTAGGATGGCCTCTCTTTCCCAGTCAGGATGGCAGTGGGAGCTTATGGGCATTATATATTTCTGTTCCTCCCTTCAACTGTCTCTGGAGTGATGGGGAAGAAAGTCAGACTGCAAATGGCCAAGAAGTCAAGGTCAGTTAGTGAATGGTCCAAAAGTGGAGGCAGAGAAGAGAGACCGCTCTCTCTAGAAATGTGGTGGTAAAATGAAGGAGTGAGCAAGGCCAATCTCACTTGAGGGAGTAGCCAGGCTGAGGGTAGGAGTTCTTTTTCAATTCAAAGAGACCTGAGCATATTGGTAAGCAAATAGGAAAGAGCCAGCGGGGAAGGTAAGGTCACTGAGGGAGAAGAGATACTTGAAGAAGGCAATGACCTGGAGAAGATGGCATTCTGATCCCCTTAGGGAAGGAGGACAGATACTGTGGGGCATCCCAGAGGTGATGAGAACTAGGGGGAAGGGCAAGACTTGAACCTTCTCCATCTGCTGGGAGGGTCTTTGGATATGGGAGCCAGCCCAGCCTCACATAGCCTCCTTAGAAGGCAGCTGCCTCTACTTACTTATAAGCTCTCCTATTTGTACATAGTGTCAAAGTTTGCAAAGTATCTTCCCACAAAACATTTTCTCATTTGATCCTCACAGAAACCATGGCGGGGGGGGGGGGGGGGGGGGGGGGGGGGGGGGCAGTGCAAACATTGCTATTTTTACTCTACGAAGGAGGAAACAAAGTCTCAGAGAACCTAACTGTCCCCAGGTCAATCAGCTAGTAAAGCCACAACTTTGGAGTCCAGATTCAGAGTTTTTTTTTTCCACTCTAGCATACAGCCTCATTCTTCCATGATACGCTAAATTCCTCCAACCCCAGTGTACCTCCTGGAGGACAGGCCTCAGCAGATTGGAGGAAATACCCCAAATCAGCCTTTTACAGGTTTCTTTTGCCAATAGAATGTCCCCACAAAAAGATGGATTCCACCCTCTTCCTTGTCCTCCCCATCTCTTTAGTCTCTGTTGCCCTAGGTCACATTCATCCCTATAGTTCAACAGAAGATATATATAATATGAGTGGAGACACAGACATGTATGTGAGGGACGTGGTGGCAGATACCCACAACTGTGTGTAATGAGAACAGAAATACATGAACTACCCTCAAATACCCCATAGCTAAACTGAATCTTCCACCCATCCCTTTCCTCCATCCTCTAAAGGTGCCTGGTATAAGCAGGAAAGTTGTATGTGGGAAAGGAGCAGAGGTGGGATGGGGTATTGAAGGGGAAGAATACTCCATAAGGGGAAATGGGTTTCTCAAGAGAGGCTGGGGGAGGCAGCTGGCTACCTAGGATCAGGGAACTGGGGCAGCTGGGCCCAGTACCAAGGGCTCCAAATAGATATTGAGTCTGGGGTATTTGGGGGTGGGATAGGAAGGGGAGAGATGAAAAATCCAAATGTTAGCATCCCTCTCCCCCCCCCCCCACAAGTGCCCCCTTCTCTCACCCAACTCATCTTGCCAGTCCTGGACAACATCAAGTCCTTTATCCTTTCGAGACCAGCATATGAAAGTGAGTCTTGCTAAGAGAGAATCACAAACATGACTAGACACATTTTCACAAAAACAGCTTCTCTGGTCCTGAAGAGAGGGGTCCAAGTTTGCTCATAGGTTCTCCCTACCACCACCTATACCATGCACATAGACAGAACCTCCCTCTTACCCATCAGCTCTCCAGGATACCTAATCCTGGGATGAATGGGGCAAGGAGAGCAAAAAAGAGGGAGCAGAGGGTTAGCTAGAATGTGAAACCAAGTAGGTATGCACTTGTTTGTGTATGTGACACCTAGCATGCATGTCTATGGTGGTGTGACTTCTGTGAGGCTGAGTGGTCATGAATCTATATGAGTGTAAGGGGGTAACTGTGGCAGGATGAGCCGGGGAGAAAGGGAGAGAACTGAGTGTATGCTATATGAAGGTAGAGGCCCACATGTAGGGGATCACTGATATACCTGTATGCAAGTATGTCCATGGATCTGGGTGACAGCGGGCACAGCCAGCCAGCCAAGCCAGGAGGGAAAGGCAGGGAAGGTCCAACCAGCCTTCAAAGAGCATTAAGGATCTAGCCCCAAATCACCATCCATCCCTCACCCACTCCCCCACCCCCAAATCCAAAGCTGCCACCAGTTCCTATCAGTATCTCTTTGCCTCTTCCTACCAGTCACTCTCTGCACTCCACTGCACAAACGTCTAGCTCTCATGCTCACTGACTGCAAGACAGCATTTGTTTCCCTTCTCTAGCCCCCAGAGCTCAGGTGAAACCCCCAACCAGAGAGGAGAGCAGTTGACCCAAGCAAGAAGCTAGAATCAGGGTTGGGTAGGGAGTGATGAAGAGGAGGTGCATCCCTGCTGAGTCAAGGAGTCACAGGGCTAAGTCTTACACAAATGCAGCTCTCCTAAGCTCAGGCAGCACTAACAGCACAGAGGAGGCCCTGAAGACCTGTGCTGCTTGCTGCAAATCCCAAACCCTTTTTCCAGCTGTAAAAAGCATCCATGTGAAAAATACTATCTGTCCAGTCTCATCCCTTCCCTCCTGTTCCTCAGTCTCCATCTCCCCTAAGTCTGCCTTCCTTCCTTCCCCCTCTCCTTGAGTCTACCATCCTTGAGTCTCCTAAGCAGGTGGTAAATGGGTATCAACATTCCTGGAGGGGCTCTCATTGGCTATGAGCCCAGCAGCTCCAGCTTCCCGACACCCTCCCAGCCTTCCTGCCCCAGCACCAACACCTCCCCCCCCCCCACCTCGACCAACTCGGGGAAACATTGGGAAGGCCATTGGGAAGAAGAGCTCCAAAAAAGAAGGCAGAAACTGGCAAAGGAAGAACAGGCAGTGTGTCCTAACAGGCTCCTCCAAACCCCCCACCCCTGTAAGGATGGAGGAGAGGATGGGAGCAGAGCAGAGAGTGAAGGAAGAGCTGCCAGAAGCTTAATTCGGGAATCCTCTGGGACCTTGTCCATCATCACTGCCTGCAACTAAGGGGTCATGGACCGGAAGGCAAGGGCTGGGGAAAACTGACTTCTCTTCCTCGCCTTCCACATCCCATCCACAGGCTACTGCTCCAAACGCCAGTGACAGGCGGAAGGGTTAACCTAGGTTGGTGCCCAGACCCAGCCAGATTCCCGCACAACTTCAAGAGCAGAAAGAATTAGGGGAACGGGGCTACAGGGAAAGAAAACAAGCGAGGGGAAGGCAGCAGAGAAGGAAAGAGGGAGGAAGAGGAGTTGGAGATGAGCAAGAGAGAACAGGGGGACGTAGGCGAGTGAAGGGTGAGTGAAAGGCTCTGTGGTGTTCTTGTGGACTCGGCAGTTCCTCCCCATCCCAGTAACGGTCCAGGTCCAGTCCTCCTCTCTGCTCTTCGCTGCCCCTCCGGGATAGACTCCCGTCATTCAGTACGACTCACCTCTGCGCTGCGGTAGTGGCGTCCAAGATTCCAGTGCCCTGCATCCAGGAGCGCACCGAGCCGAGGCCGGCAGGGAGCGGCTCCTCTTTCAGGCTGAGCCCTCCTCGGGGCAAGGAGTCCTGCATGGAGAACATGGGACCGCGCTGCAGGCGCCGCTCTGCCTGGCGCCCCGACGGCCCGCACACCGAGCTCCGACGAAGTTGGGGGATAGTCCCCACCCCCACCCAGTATAGCCGAGTACAGGCTGGACCAGGCCAGGCCGGGGCAGGACAGGGCAGGGCCGGGCCGGGTCGGGCAAGGGAGCAGCAGCGGAACGCGCCCGACTCGCGACGGCTTCTCTACTGGCCCCAGCTCATTGAGAGCTTGGCTCCCCGGGCCGCTCCCTCGGAGAAAGCCGACCCGCTAACAGCCGCGCAGCCTCCTCCCCCTGCACCGGGGGGCGGGGAGACAGAGGGATTCCCCCGCGGCCACTCGCCGCGAGGGGGGCCCGGAGCAGGGGAAGCAGTGGGGAACTGAAGGGGTGGGGAGAAGCAGCAGAGAGGACCTCACGGGGCAAGGATGCGAAGGCACAGGAGTCAGGGATAGGGAAGATACTCCGCAGAGGTGCAAAGTGGCGATCTCAGTGCTGGGCAGAGGGGACCCTGAATGTAATGCCCAAAGGGGGCTCTGGGCGTGGGGCAAAGTGGGGACACTCGAACTGACACAAAGTGGGGACCCCGCGAGCTTTGTAAAGTGGGGGACCCCGAAAACTCGAAGCAAAGTGGGAAATCCGCGGGTGACGCAAAGTGGGGCTCTCAGGAGTGATGCAAAGTAGGGCTGGCTGAGTTGAGGCGCAGAGAGGGGAGCCCAGCCGGGAGGTTTGCAGCGGTTTGGGAGGAGGAGAGGGATGCGAGAGAAGGAAGCAGCGCGCCAGGGAGGCAGAGGGAAGAAGGCAGAGAGGAGAAGGGGGCAAAGCAGGGCAGGGCAGGGCAAGGCAGGGCTGACAGGGCAGGGCAGGGCAGGGGAGGACAGAGCGGCCGGCCTCGCAGGGCTGCCTGGCGCGCCGAGTGCGGAGCGCTGATTACCATCCGGAAGGCGGAGGCAGCGGGAGCGGAGCTCGGCGGCGGCGGCGGCAGGAGCAGCAGCAGCCGCGCGTCCCGGGGGAGCGAGGGGGGGGAGTCAAGCCCGCCGATGCCGCCGCCGCTGCCCGGGCCCCGCCCGCCCCGTCGTCCGGGCCCCTCAACCCCGCTCGGGAACACCTGGAGCAGCAGCAGCAGCAGTCCGGCCGGCTCGCCCCGGGCCCCGGCCCCGGCCCCGGCCCCGGCGCCTCCCGCGGGCCCCGGGCCGACCCCCC